ATACTGCAATATTATATGAAGGCACTGACTGGTCTCATCTGAAAAATGTAATTGAAAATGATTTTATCAAAATTATTCGGTGGTTTAACAGTAGAAAATTAAGCATTAACTACTCTAAAACACATTTTTTACCATTTGGATCTTATGCTAGACATCTGCCAAATTACACAAATGTCTCCTTCAATATTAATGATCAAAAAATGCAAATTAATAGAGTGCCCAACATAAAATACCTTGGAGTGGTCTTGGATCCTCACTTACGATGGGACATCCATGTCAATTATATTTTAAAGAAAGTTAGATTTGTATCCTACAAAATTAAATACCTTGGGAATATATTGACAGAAAAATATCTTCGAACATTATACCATGCACTGATTGAGCCTCATCTCACATATGGTATATTAGCATGGGGAGCTGCATGTTCCTCACATATCTATAATTTAGATGTTTTTCAAAAAAGTATTCTAAAAATGATATTTAAAAAACCGAAACTTTATCCCACTGAAAAATTATACGCAGATGTTCGAATGTATGATATAAGACAGCTTTATTTCTTACACAGTATCACTCACTACCATAAATTTGTAAACACCGACCAAAAATTAAACATAATCATTATACCAGGTACAAAATTCGTGGCACAGTAGTTCCTCAACCGCATAAATCTATAATGCAGCGATCATATCTCTATTTAGCGCCTAAATTTTATGAAATTATACCTAAAGACTTAAAAGATTTACGTTTCGGAAATTGTTTCAAAAGAAATTTAAAAAAGTGGCTACATTCTATATCTAGGACTGAAATTCATAAACTCATAAATACGAACATCAACTAAATACATAATCTGTAGCTAATTTTTGTCCTTTTTTGTCATTTGCATTCTACAGTTTCAACTTAAATTATTGGTCCATGTACAGGCGATGCCTTCTATTGGGCCTGTTTTCATTTTATATTTATTTACTCATATTGTTTGTTATCTTTGTACATTGAGTGAATAAATATTATTATTATTATTATTATTATATTATTATATTATTATTATTATTATATTTAGGCTTAAATCAATAAATCTTCAAAACTACTGAACTGAAGTACATTAATTTTATATCATTATAAAGGGAATTGAAAGACCTTAAAAATAAGGTATCACTCGACCCCCCGTTCCATTTAAAATTTTAGGGTTGGTGTCACGCCTGCCCAGGGGGCTGCACGTGTTAACGTGATTTTTTGCCAAACTTGTGTCCCCATCGAAAACAAAATCGACGGGTCTGAGCGTTTTTCCAAAAAAGAAACTGAGCTGCCATTAAATGCGTCTGTTTCGTTTTCGATGCGCCACCCTGTATATGAATTTATTTCGGAATATTTCAAGTACCATCAATAATTTTTTTGCAGTTTCACAATTAGCGGTTATGATAGCCGGTAAATACGCACCTCAAGCGTGAAAGGAAGATCGGCAAAAACAGAAACACTACCCGCAGTAATTACATACATTCCTCCGCATGATACAACGCGCTAACGAACCACCGATGTTGTACTGAAACTGCAGACTTCGAACATGTACCAATCGAAACAAAATAGTGTTAATGTTAATTCTAGCAGGTTGTATCAACTTTCAAATGAGCGAGTGACATTGTCACGCTCATTAGTAATACTAATTTATTATTTTATAGAAATCGTTTATTAGATATAAAATGTTTTACTGGTAACAGTACTCATGTAGTGATACACTTATTGCTGCAATCTAAAAAAACCTAAATAATGCATCACTTGTTCAAACAAAACCTACACCCTTTTGATGTCATTGCGCTTTGTAAAAAATTTTACTAGAAGTTCTTCTGAAGCCGTGGAAGTATAGAGTCAGTCTACTTGACGCAATTTTTCAGGAAACCAAAAAGTATGTTATTGTTGACCGTACTATAACAAGCTTATTATAGATGCATCGTCGTGTCCGAGGATCGTTGACAATGGTCAATTATTTTGGTAATTCGAATGAACCCAGATTTCGGGTCAACTCGGTTAAGCGTTTTTTTTTTCATTTATGCGATTTAAATGAGTATGTTGGGGCTGCTAAATCAGCCATCATTGTGCTTTAATTGATAAAATGACCGAAATCTGAATGAAATCGACCTAGAGAATTGAGTCGTCTTTCGAAAAGAATCACGTTGAAGATGTGATTGAGTGACCATGAGTAAAAATAAGAACGTAAAATATTTTTAATTTCATGTCATATGCGTGTTCTAGAAAGACGAAAACCTAACAGAGATGAATAAATATACTAAGTGACATAAACATCCGAACACCCAGTTTAAATGGTTTTATTTTAATAAAATTTTGTACTTAAGTACTTAATGAAGCATAATAAGTAAATGATAAAAATTTCAAAATGATTGCACTGCTTTAAAGCCCTTTGACCTTTAATAATGTGTGGATGCACCCTGATGTGCTACGCATTCTCCAACGCGCCTAGGCATGCTTCTGATCAGGCGGTCAATGTCCTCCTGTGGTATCTCATTCCAGGCAACCACCAACTCCTCTCGAAGTGCTTCTAGAGTCTGAGGAGGACGTTGCAAATTGAGCAATCTCCTACCCATCATATCCCACACGTGCTCAATTGGGGATAAGTCGGGAGATCTTGGTGGCCATGGTAACAATGTGACATCATTATGTTGAAAGAAGTCTATTGTGACTCTTGCAACATGTGGTCGGGCATTATCTTGTTGGAAAGTTGGATCTGTCAAGATAGGGTAAAAGATGGGGTTCTAGAACTTCGTGGATATAACGCTGCGCGTTCATGTTACCTCTGATGAAGATTGAAGGTGACCTGGAATCATAAGCTATAGCACCCCAAACCATAACTCCAACAGTGTGATGAACATGTCTTTCAACAAAAAACTGTGGATTCCTCCTTTCACCACGTCGCCTTCTAACCCTGACACGACCATCGTGCATGCCAAAACAAAATCGAGACTCGTCACTAAAGACAATACTGTTCCATTCCTGATCCCAAAGTGACCGTTGTCTGTACCACTTAAGGCGATTACGTCGGTGTTCTCGAGTTAAAGGGAGGACCCAGCGTGGCCGGTATGAAAACAAGCCAAAACTTCTCATTCGTCGGTAAACACTTCGCATGCCAATAGGTCTTCCGTGTTCTGCAAACCATTCATTTGCAATGGACCTGGTAGTGGAGAAACGGTCCCTTAAGGCCAATAATCTTAGGCGGCGATCTTCACGGTCTGTTGTTCTACGGCGGCGTCCAGAGCCCCTTGCTCTTTGCGTACGGCTTTCTCGAAGCCATGCCTGACAACACCTAACCACAGTGTCTACACTTCTTTGCACTCTAACTGCAATTGCCCGAAAAGAAAGTCCAGCTTCCCGAAGTCCCACTATACGGCCTGTATCAAACTCACTAAGTTGACGAAATCGTACAGGTCTCCGTACTCTAGGCATCGTAACCGATCTTAAAGGATGTCAAGAACCAAAATCCGCCAACGTTGATTCTTTACTGCGGCTGAAATATTCATTTTTAGAGCGTTAGTGAATTAAAAAAAGCAGTATTAAAACCGGAATGTCCAACTGATAAGGCTGAAAATTTTTTCACTTGTTATTTACAGTAAGATAAATACATTCACCAACTTTTATTAAAATAAAACCATTTAAACTGGTTGTTCGGATTTATATGTCACTTAGTATAAATAAATCACTAAAGATAAAGGGATACCGCATAGAAGTAACAGGAAGTAAATTAAAAAAAAATTTATGTACTTTGATATGAATGTATAATTCTAAACAGCAGAAAAAGAATGTCTATGTCTAATACTGTTTAAGCATGTGATTTTTCAAGCCGTAAATAAATATTTATATTTCTTTTAGGTCACGTTTCCACCCACATTTTTTCTTTTAAATCTAAAGTTTTGCAGTTTTCAAATGTCTGTAGGCTTTGGAACAGCAGTCAAAATTTCGACTGAGCTTTTCTTTTGGTTATAGAATGGTGTAAAATAATCTACCAAAAAATTCTCACATTCTACTATTATATATATATATATATATATATATATATATATATATATTTCTGAAATGATATCAAATAAAAAATATCAAAATACGTTCCTGGCTTATGCATAGAAGGTAAAGTTGATTTTGATCTGCTTATTGAATGTTTATTGGTCTAGATCAGAGTTCCCCAAACTTTTTTGTGTCGTAGACCCCTTGCCATGTTTTTCCGTGTTGGGTAGACACCCTACTTACCGGATATTGATTTCCTGTAAATTTCTAACTGTAGTGAAGTTTAGTGTTAAAAACTTAAAGTAAAAACAAATGTTAATTTATACATTTATTAATTGAATTTGAATTAAAACTACTCAAAATAAAATTTTGTATCTTTTAAGTAAAATATACGTAACATTAAATAAACAGGTGTCTGACCAATAAGTGCCAGCATTGGGAATAAGTGCCCGCATTGAAAAAAAATAACAGGGATAAAATAAAAAAAAAATGAAAAATAATAAAAAAAAAGTTTTTACTTAAAACAGTACAATAAGCGAGTTCGTTTATTAATTATAACATAAACGTATGTTCTACAATAATTTCACTGTTAGTTTGATTAAATTCCGCTTCTTATACGTTTAAGTTATCTAAAAATAGGCAAAAAATTAACGAATTGAATTTTCAGAATAATTTAAAAAAAATATTTTCTATAAAGGGGGGTTCTTTAAAAAATCAATGCGGGCACTTATTCCCAATGCGGGCATTTATTGGTCAGACACCTATAAACATAAAATAAACTATAAATAAAATAACATAACAATAGGTCAATATTTTAAATGAGAAGGATGAACCTAATGCTTTAATAATAAATTATCAATATTTGGCCTTAATTTTGTAAGGGTTAATCTTAAATCTCCTCGGCTAATGATGTCCAGTCTGTTTCTTTTTTTCGTTAGGAGATTGGTAACAGCGCTGAACCCCCTTTCCACTAGGTATGACGATGGAAAGGAAATTTAAAATTTTCTCGCTATATTCCATAATACGGGATAAGTAACGGGTATGTTGTTTTGCAGCCAGAATTGCTGATATCCGTTTTTAAGCTGAACCTTAAGTAGTTCTTCGTTTGTACTTGGTTCAGTCAGTTCCTCCTGTATTATGACATTCGTTTCTTCTATGTTACCATATGGATTAATTATCCACGGTGGTATTACCATAGTAAAAATATCCTCAAACCTAGATCCAAAATCTGAATAGAGGGCATTTAAATGATGAACGTAAGTTGAAACGTCCTCTTCCTGGCAGCTTGTCTGTGACAAATTGGGGAACTGAGAAAATTCGCCCCGTCCAATATTGTGCTTCATTAGTTTAACTCTGGCAAGAAACGCTGATAAGATGGACTTTGTTTTAATCAAATTTAAACTGTCGCCTTGTAATTGCAAATTAACCATATTAAATTTTGTAAACAAACCTTTTAAATACGCGATGTCTGTTTTCCTCTGCATTAAATTTTCTTTTAAAATTTAATCTTTAGTATCCAGAAATTCTAAAATAGTCTCAAAAAGTGCAAAAAATCTTGTCAAAAATAAGCCTTTCGACAGCCAGCGTACTTCAGTGTGAAGGAGTAATTGATGAAAGTGTTCGTCATTTTCTTCACACAACTGCGCAAATAACCGCGTATTCAACGCGTTTCTTCGGATTCGGTTTACTGCATCAATGACTAAATGAAGTGATTCATGCAATCTAACACTCAAATTTTTAGCAACTAAATGTTGTCGATGGATGACGCAATGTATTGCTAACAGCCCTGACACATTTTGTTTTAAATAGCTTATAAATCCACGATAACGTCCAACCATGGCAGGTGCTCCATCTGTAGCTACTGATATTATATTTGATAAAGGAATTGCTTTTTCAATGAAGTAATCCTTCAAAACATGAAATATTGATTCACCTTTAGTGCCGGTTATCAAAGTTCCTGCGAAGAGCAGTTGTTCGTAGATTTCTTGATTCATAATAAAACGAACATATGCCAATAATAAAGCTGCATTATCAGGTAAAGTTGACTCGTCCAGTTGTATAGATAAATGGATCGTTTGCAAATAATTACATAAGAAGCTTTCAATATCAGAACTCATTTCATCAATACGTCTTTCAAAAGGAATTGTTGCTTAAGGGAATTCTTTTAATCATATCAGATGCAGGTTTGTGTAAAACAGTTTTTAAAACCTCTTCAACGGCTGGCAAAATTAACTTCTCTCCGCTAGTATGCGGTTTTCCGGATTTTGCTATAAGTAACGAGATATTGTAAGACGCCCGCAAACCATCATTTCTTTGTGACGTCGAAGCGAACATTCTGTCCAGTGAAGGTCTCTTCTGAAATTTATCTTTGAGTGTTTGAAAGTATTTCAAATCTTTCTCTGTTTTATCAGGGTGGCATCTTCTCAGATGATCTTGCAGTTTAGATGGTTTCATAGCGTCATTGCCCAAAACTTTGTTGCATAAAAGGCACATAGGCGATTGTTTGTCCGGCAATGATGGAATGAAGCCAAATTTCAAATAATCAACACTGTACTGTCTATATTTCTTTTAAGATTCGGACATGGCATCAGACATCTGTGGGCAAAATTAAATTATTTAAATAAGACAGAAAATCCAGCAGCTGTATATTAAAAATATTTTTTGATTTTTCCGAAAACATTCCATAATTCGAACATCTTCTTGCAACAATTAGCTCGAATTACGGAGATTGCACTGTAATTATATTACCGATTGCTAAAACTTTCAAAAAGAAACTATTGATGAATACTCGTGTAATTTTGCATGATTGAATATTTAACTACTAATAACTAAAGTCATGATTGGCGGAATTTATCTATCTTTGCTAACTACGAGTACAAAACTAAAATTTAATAAAAAATAATGTACTTACTTTTCTCCAGCACTCTCAAACAAAATAACACTGACTCACTATAATTTGTGTGATATATATACTATCTGTTTATATTTTTTTAAATATTTTCTCAGCACTTTCCTTTTCAAGATTCAGGAAACGAATAAACGTATTTGTCCCACATTCGTATTTATAGAGTGACGAATTGAACAAGTCAGCGCAAGGTAGCGAAGCTCTGAGACTGCGACTCTCAGGTTGTTACAAGTTCAAAATGTATTGCGACCACAAAGCGAATACCAACATCCTACAACTTACACAATTTTATAAACATATATAATAAATGTTTTACTTCATAGGTACTTTTATAAATAATGTATAAGTTTTGATATTATAAGATAGTATGATGTAAGTAAATAGGTACTATCAGTGTATGTGTTGAGATCCACTATCGTGGACCCCCATATTCATTTCATGGACCCCCAAATTTTTTTCGCTGACGTAGCCTTGCAGGTTGTCATAGACCCCTAGGGGTCGATATAGTCCACTTTGGGAATCAATGGTCTAGATAACTCTCCGTACCGCAATTTCCGGGTTAAGCTTCAAATAACGCCATTTGTCCAACAATAACTTAAGCTTAACACGTGTATATATCACCCCTCCCGCTGCTTTAAAAGCGTCTGTACCCTCGGTTAATAATAGCCCGGGGGCAAACAACAAATATGCTAATGGCAACAGAACTTTTAAATCTCCCGAGTGACAGATTTAAACGCGAATCTTTGGTTAGCCGCCTCTGCGACGTCATAATAGCCAGTAAATTTTCCGTAGGGAGCAGAGTGCATTTTCCAATTATAACCAAAGTGCTAGGTCGCATGCTGCCAGAGCAATTTCGTAACCGTCGCTAATTTCGCGAGGTTCCTGATCTACGATCGCTGTTAAACGACAAAATGGTATTCGCGGATGTCGTTTGAATATAACGATTTCAGATTCACCTTACTTGCGGCCTTCTCGACAAAGGAAGGCGGACTAGTCAAGGACGGATTTAGATACTTCCTAGTCGCCAGTTTGTCATTTTTACTTCCCGAGTCCACTGGCGAGGAAGTATTGTAATCGCGAAAAAATTCTTAACATTCAAAAGGAAGACATAACCTCACAATAGGAGAGCGCTGACGCTGACACGGAATAGCAGAAATCTGGAAATACCACAGCCTTTCTGAAGGAGAAGATAATACTATGAAAATCAAGAAGCCCATAAAGGCATCCTACAATTCTAGGAACAATCCTGGCCTTATTGAGGAGCGAATGAATGAATATCTGTGACTGATGAGAAAGATCTTGCAATAATAGATGAAGTGAAATTGAACTCGAGTAGCGATCAACAACGTCGTGTTTTGTACTCGTTGGGTCTGTTTTTAAGGCTATGTACTATAAAGTACAGAAAATGAACAAAAAGCACCGACAAGAAACAAGAATATAATTCGCAATTAGTCTTGAAAGAATGCAGATGCAGGGCGGTCTTTGCAACGTTGCCATTTCATCTTCGCAAAGATGTGCATGCGACCAAGTTTCTAAACGATAGTAAAGATTCGTTTGGCAACAAGCTTGTCGTCTTTAATTTAAAAACGCTACTCGCAATCCATAAAATTCCGACTGAGCCCACCGCAGTTCGACAGTTTTACAGTTGTTTGATTTTAATGAACACTTACTAATTGCTATCCTTTAATGAACATTCGTGACAGCGCTAATATACGAGGTCTGTAAATTAAGTAATGAGACTGGCAACGTAGCGTACGATCTGGGCCACTGGAGGGGGACAGGGGAACATGTGACCCGTCTTCAGTACAAGTTTGAACTAGCTCGAGTCGTGTGCTACCAAGTTTTGTTTCAGACTGGGGCACAGGGCCAGGCCAGCCCAGGTTTTTCGGTGGTTAAGGCATTTTGAGATTGACAATATAAAATTGTAATTATATTTTAATAAATAAATCAGTCTCATCACTTAATTTACAGATCTCGTATATGCTAAAATTCATCAATATCGGTTGAAGCGTTTTGTCGAGTAAACGGAACATACACACTTTCTAATTGAGATAAGTAGGGTGAGATACAGCTCAAGTGATAATAAACAGAGATCCAAAGCATCGGGTAATGAGAACAAGCCCATAAGACGATCACCGCAGCAATAATGCTTGTAGGTGGTCTAGTTCTACGAGAACTGGTCCCATTAACAAACCCTCTGCTCATAACCGACTCATGACCATTAGGGCACACCCTGAACAGCCCTTTACAATAATTGTCTGCCCGAGACTGTTAAACGACAAACACTTTTCAATTAATCAGTTCGTTCGTACATTTTATTTGTTGCAGGAGAATTTTAATGCTCGGAGGATGTTGTTAAAGATTAGGGTTTCTTTGGGAATTGACAGTTCACCCCGTCATGGATGTTTTGATTGGGCATGATCAGGCAGATATGCGTTTTATGATACGACAAGTTGTAAAATGTGTCTCTGCGTGTGGAGGACTGTTTTTCTTCCCACACTAAAACAGATGGAAGAATTACCGCACTGAAATAAATGTACTCGTATTTTACGTTCAGAGCGATAGTTTTGCCGTTTATGCTTTTGTATCTATAAATCATGGCGTGGTTAACGTTTCTTTGATTTTTTTATGCCTTAAAAAATGGGACACAACATCAAATAGTGTACCAACAACTATTCTACATGACGCTTAATCGACACAAGCATGTAATGTCGCAAGACCGCGAAAGAAAATGGCGCCAAGTAGGTTGACTTAGCACAAATTAAACCCTCTAAGAACATGGAAAATTCAACCGATCAACTCAGTCAAACAGACCCATACAATCAGTCTGTAGACGTTATTTCGCTGCCTTGCCAGTAGTTACCGTAACGATGCATCAAATATAGTCAACGCCAAACAAAGTGGCGTGCACGTCATCACGATAAAAATTCCCCGACCTAATGTCTAGGTTTCTATCACAAACAATTGCTCTATTGCAGTTTCATATTAATGTGATATATAAATTGTAAAATGGTCATTACTCTCTTATTATGGTTAATAGTCATATAAACATTGTTATTAAAATATCACATAAGTTGCTTTCTGATAAATTTAGACGCATTATGCGAAATAAAATGTTTTGCAAACGCTCCAATCACTTATCGACATGTAAACGCACTAAACCGATTTCGCAGCGTTGACACATTGTCACCTTGAAACTTATTTAAACTGGGAACTGACATTTGTATTAATTTTGACACTGAATCAATTTGTGGCATTTCAAATCTTTATAAATCCTTTGGCCCCGCATACTGTAAATCAACAACTGTTTGTTTCAAAACAAAATTATTCATTTTACGAGTAGATAAAGGCAATTTTGGTATATAAAGATGCCCAAACAGTTAAATAGTCGGTGTAAGGAACTCGTGGCCTCGTTAATGCACTACTTTGAGCAAGAAAGGGACAACAACGGGCCTTTGTTGCCTTTAAATGCTGTTCAAGAGGTAGGTTACTAATAATTATATGTAATGTATATTAATAATAGTGAAATTTTATTTCATTTTTTGTAGCGTGTTGCTGCTGCTTTAAAAATTAGTTTAAGGACAGTTAGTCGTATTTCCGAGGGTGTGAAAAGTGATGCAAATTTAGAATCGCCCAAGAAAAAGCGGAGTTATATTAAACGTGTAACCAACACAGCGACATTGGATACAAGTGCCATTCGAGAAGTGATCTATAATATGTATCACAAAAGTAAGATCTTATTATAATAACTTATCAGAAATTTGCATTAATTTGTTAACTAAATTATAATGTCATATTACACATGGGTTTCAGAAGAACAAGTTACGATACAAACTTTATGGTCTCGATTAAGAGATAGGGCATTATTTGATGGTAGTGCCACGTCTTTAAGACGGTTGCTTAGAGATCTTGGATTTAAGTGGCTTAAGGACAATCCGCGACGAGAGCTCATGGAACTACCAAGTATAGCTTTGAAAAGGGTGGAATTTCTAAGGCAATACAATCAAGCCAAGGTTGAGGCCTTATACCAGTTTGTCTTCCTCGATGAAACTTGGATATTTCAAAATGGGACCATAGGTCGCTCTTGGCAAAATGGAAACCAAAAAAGCGTGAAAGCTATTAAAACAGATGGTAAAAGGTATGTACTTTTACACAATTTGCACTATAAAATTTAAAACTAATATATTTTAGATACATTATATTACATGCTGGAAATGAAAATGGGTTTATTGAGGGTAGTGAAGCGATATTTTCTTCGAAAACAAAATTGAGCGATTACCATGGAGAGATGAACCAGGACAATTTTTTGAAATGGTTTCAACTTCAGTTATTAGAAATTTGGAGAGTCCATCTATGATCATACTGGATAACGCCCCTTATCACAGCATGATATTGAACAAAGTGCCCAACAATGCATGGGCAAAAAAAAATATCCAAGACTGGTTGACAAATCAAAACATACCATTTTTAAACACAATGTTTAAAACAGAGCTATTGAGTATTGTTGCTCGGTACATAATGCTTCTTAATTATATATATTTTGGTCGAC